CAAAGTGGAAGAAAGTCGAGGGGTGGGGAACAGAAGAACGATTCACAGATGTAAAAGAGGCAGACAAACACAAAGATCGAGAAAAAGGTAAGATTAGTACTGTGAAGGGATCGAATATGACAAGCAGTCGGGCCATGGTAGTTTGAAGTCAGAGGTCAGCTGCCGGTTAATAGACTTTTTTGCCGTATGAGTATAGGTTGCCCAGGGTGCACCACGTGGAGGTAAGTCTATCGCAGGTTGCCCAGACGGTGGAGGTAAGTCTATCGCACGCTGTCCAGGGTGCACCACGTGGAGGTAAGTCTATCGCACACACCCCTCCGCTTCCAAATAAGATGTTGATAGTGAAGGCATATTTCCAGGGTGCACCACGTGGAGGTAAGTCTATCGCACACCCACTTGGCTCTCCCCTCAAATTTCAACCCTACACGGATGGGCTTGTTTTTTTTTATTTTTACTATTACCATTACAATTATAATTATGGCTACTTAATATAATACCCACCATTTTCACCTATCACCCTGAATTCGATGACCTTCCAAATGTGATAACATTGAGTCAAAGTGTCAATGTTTGGAAGTTCAAGAGGAAATGGTGTCGAGTTAAAGGATTACCACTAGTGGGATGTGATTTAACATATAACAAAATTTAATCATCCAGAAATGCAATACGGAACAAGTACATTAGGTCATCCCTGAAAAATATTATTGAAAAGTAACTTACCCGTGATGAGAATTCCGTAATTAGCACTCGAAAATTGTCCTTGTCACTATTCAACACATGAATTCGTTCACTGCGGATGCTGCTCGACTCTAAATCGCTTCGAGAGCCCTCCTTAGCATTTGCGAATATTATGGGAATTTCAACCATGATCTCTCAACCCTCATTAAATAAAATGATTTATGCATTGCTCTCGCCTTAAACTCTACTAAACCATTAACCAATAAGATATGCCGTAGACAACGAAAATTGCCTGCAGTAGATGATAAATTTATTCCACATTGGGTCTTGAATGTTGCTGATAATCCCATTAGGTCAGTAATTGAATTAAAATTGCAGAAGTTAGGTCACAATATACCAGATCGAAGTTTATTACGTCGTCTAATGACTGACAGAATTTCTTATTTTTGGAATTAAATAGAAACGCGGCTGATGAATTCACAAAAATACAGAAACTTCGAAATAAGAATTTGAATATTTTTATGGGCTCAAATGCATAAAATATCAGAATATATCTTTATTCGATTTAATTAATTAAGTATTAGTGATAACTAAGACAAAAATCAGTTGAGTGGATTTTATTTCCTGGCATCCTGCGCTTTAGGTGGAACGTCGAAGTTGAGAACGAGGGTTGAAGACGTACAGGTGGTGCCAGTCCACTTCAAAACATATTGGTCCCCAGACAACCAGATCACTATCTATCCAGATATGATCAGTGGATTACCAAAGAGGTAAAGTTAAAGAGATATTAAAACTGACTGGAGTACGAAGTCTTATGTTTACTCTATTAAAGAAATTTGGAAAATACAATTAATTAATAAGTTATAAGAATTTCGAAAGACATTAATGAAATTTCAATAAAATTTAAAATGTCGAACCTATAAACCACCTATCTGTATGTCTATTTATCGAATAATTTTGAGTATAATCTAATTTGATCAAATCGATTTTCTTTAATACTTAATGCCATTAAGTATTCAATTTGATCAGCTAATGACTATTGCTTAAATGTGAGACGGACATATTTACTTTCTTGTTATTTTGGATCCATAATTTCCCATTTAAATTGTGATGATAATGATAGGTTCCTCATGATTATCTCTCTGTTGTAGTATTGTATATTAGACTAAAATATACCCATAACAATAAAGTTAAAAATATCGTTAACACTTCAAACATAAAGCATTAGAAAATTATTCATTTAGTTTGGATAATTCAGGTAATCTACAAAGAAGCAAGAGAAATATTTAAGTTGCGAGAAAAAAGACATTTGATTTGCATTTGCATTTAAGATTTGGTTATCGAATTGGTAACTAAAAAATAAAAATAATGATTTTAGGAGAACTTGCCTTCTTAATTGCTAGTATGAATTAATGTGGCTAAATTTAATTGTTTGAAATAACCTATTTAAAAATATTACCTAAAAACATCTGAAGATAAATTTGAATGTAAAGTAAATGAGTTTCTTCGAAAGAGTTTTACACTAGCTCATCAAACATTATCTTACGTATATTTAAAATGAATCAAGTCGTAAAAAATTAACACCTATAAAATTAACAGGAGATTAACATTAGAAAAAAATTACAAAAATACTTGTCATTCGTAAATTGTGTCGACATCAAAATACCTCTTCTGATTTTAGCTTGTCAAAGATTTATTAATTGGCTTCCATAGTGTCATTGACAAAGTAAACAGGGATTTGATAATATTTCTATATTCGCTTGCGCTGTGACTATTTTAAACGTTCACAAATTTATAACAATAAGCTTGAGATAATTGGAGGTTCAAAAGTTGTTCAAGGAAAAAATGTTGCCGGCGAAAATAAATGGAAGTGGGATTAAATTATTACGAGAAGATATGTGGACAAAATAACGAATCATTTTTATATCTGGATATTTTTCGCTTCTAATATTAAAAGGTAAACGCTTTGCTACTAATAATAAATTAATTAGTCATGCATTTGCACTAAAATATATCTTAAAGCTACTCATTACTAATAATTTTTGAACAATATTTATTTAGTTAAATTCTCATGTGCAATATTCCAGGGGGCGGGATTACGATTCGAATTCCGTACCTTGGGTTCTGCTTGAGATTTCGTAGTAATTTTTTTTTAACGGCAGTTATATATAATATTCTCTCCTTAAAATTAATGTGGTTCGTCAAATTCATAGTAGTTATTTAATTTTATCTTTTAAAATTGTAGTATAACTCACAACGATGTCAGTAAGTTGGTCTTTTTCGGCATATATAACAATTCATTAGGAAGACCCTTCGTCCCGTCGTAATCAAGGGTCAAGAGAAGAAGGTAGTGACGATGAAGGGAACATTGGAGCAGGCTCAGATATTGAAAATGCCCCTTTTGAAGATGAATCCGCTGCGATTCTCGGAGATGATATGGATGATGTTCAGGAAGAGAGTGAGGGAGAAGACCTATTCCGAGATGACATGGAAAGGGATTATCGGTAAGTGATAATGTTGCTTTAGTGACATTTTCCCCTCTTTGCTAGTCCTATCCCCGAACTCGACGTCTATGAGCCCGAAGGATTGGCCAGCTCTGGCGACTATCCAAGCTTGTCACCGACAGCGCGGGCTGAAGCGGAGCGTGAAATGCGAGAAAGAGATCGGGCTGAAGGTTTAGCCGCTGGTGATCTTCGTCGTGGAATAGTTGCTGGTGAGTTCATTTATGCCAATTTCAGGCTTTGTAAAAATGGGGTCAATAGTCTCATACTAGGTTTGTAGTAGACCAACTTCATTAGAAACTCAACTGAGGCGCTCTTTGAAGTAGGTTAGAGTTATATTCTTTACTGTCTAAAATTTGTTACATTCTAGGGGTATTATGAAGGTTGATCTGATTTGTTTTTTTAAACTTTCAAGATTTATACGGCTTGGGCGAAGAGGAAGAAGAGGTGCCAACAAGACGACGCCGACTTGCAGAAAGAGTAGCTGCTGGTCTTGATTTGGAAGAGCCCGATGAAGTCCTAGAAAGTATTGAGAACCTGGAAGACATGCACGGCATGTCCGTTGTCGAGTGGGTCCAGCAACCTGCCACTCGTTTGGAAATAAAAAATCGTTTCAAGTCCTTCCTTCGCACCTTCCTAGACGAAAAAGGTACCAATGTCTACGCTGATCGTATTGTTCAAATGGCTCGTGATAACAAACAAAGCTTGACACTTGATTATCAACATCTTGCATCATCGGAACAAGTTCTTGCGTACTTTTTACCGGAAGCGCCTTTCCAAATGCTCGAAATGTTCAACGAATCCGCTCTGGAAGTCACGCTGGGCAGATATCCTCGTTATGAAAAGATTAGCGACCGTGTCAACGTCCGTGTTGTTGATTTGCCTCTTATTGAGGAGTTGCGCAGTTTGAGACACATCCACTTGAATCAATTGATAAGAACCAGTGGAGTGGTTACCAGTGCGACTAGTGTTATGCCACAGTTGAGTGTTGTCAGATATAATTGTGTCAAATGCTCCTGTGTTCTCGGACCCTTTGTTCAAAGTCAGGGTGGATCTGAAGTGAAACCCACTCTATGTTCTGACTGTCAGTCCACTGGCCCGTTTGAGATCAATTTGGAGAAGGTGAGGATGGAATAGAAAAATTGGGTAATATTGTTCTTCTTATTTAGACTATCTACAAAAACTACCAAAGAATCACAGTTCAAGAAAGCCCTGGGAAAGTTCCGCCTGGTCGACTTCCAAGATCGAAGGATGCGATTTTGGTTGACGACTTGGTTGATAGCTGCAAACCTGGTGATGAAATTGTAAGTTTCATATAATTCCATATCACTGCAGAATGATGTATTTACTGATAAAATTTTTCTCACACAGGAACTCACAGGTATTTATACAAATAGCTATAGCGGTTCCCTCAATGTTCAGACTGGCTTTCCAGTCTTCTCCACCGTTATTCTCGCCAACAATGTTTTACGAAAGGAGGACAAACTCATCTTGAGTAGCCTTACGGACGAAGATGTCAAAACCATTCTCGCGCTGTCTCGCGACGAACGTGTCGCTGATCGCATCTTTGCCTCCATTGCACCAAGTATCTTTGGTCATGAAGATATCAAGAGGGGTATTGCTCTGGCCCTCTTTGGTGGTGAATTCAAGAACCCAGGTGACAAGCATAGACTCCGTGGTGATATTAACGTCCTATTGTGTGGAGATCCCGGTACGGCCAAGTCGCAGTTCCTCAAGTTTGTGGAACAGTTGGCACCTCGATGCGTGTTCACTACAGGTCAAGGTGCTAGCGCCGTGGGTTTGACAGCGTATGTGACGCGAAATCCCATGTCAAAGGAGTGGACTTTGGAGGCTGGCGCTTTGGTGCTGTCGGACAAGGGTGTCTGTCTTATTGACGAGTTTGACAAGGTTAGCTACGTTCATGCCAAAATTACAAAAAACCATTCATAATGACAATTATATTGATCTTATTGATTGAATTTATATTGGAAATTATTTTTGCCAACTATCTTCCTGTCATTTATTATAATTGCTAAGCAGCTACACCTGTCTATTCAAATTTTATCATCGTTTACGACAATCTATTTAAACAATTTCAGGTGCGCTTCTCCATTTCCCTTTTGAACCGAGAAGGATGAAGATCGAATCTCAGTTTTACTTGAAATTCCAGTTTTACACAAGCCAGCACTTGGCGTGCTTTTTTTACCTCCGGGTTTCCATATTTGTTCCCTCGATTGCATTTCATTTGATAGTTCTTTTTGGTCATGCCACCAATTGGTGAAGTTTTCTATTTTATTCCAGTCTTTGCACTGCAAGAAGTGGTTTTTGAAGTTTCTTTGGTGATCAATGTGCGCGTCTGGTGCAAGGGCAAATTTAGTGGTATTGGTGGCCGAGCCTACTGACTAATTCTGGTCGAGAAAAGGAATTGTAGAATACGAACTTCACCTGAATAAAATGCTTGCAACATTTCTGTATGGAAAATTTTGTTGCGACATTTTTTTACTGAGAGTTACACTCTTGTTGACAGCTTTAAAGTAGTTATTGTTTACTTTAATTTGTCTAGCCAACATTTTTTTACTGTTTTAGATGAACGATCAAGATCGGACCTCCATTCACGAAGCCATGGAACAGCAGAGTATTTCAATCAGCAAGGCGGGTATTGTGACAAGCCTACAGGCCCGTTGTACCATAATCGCCGCAGCCAACCCCATTGGCGGTCGTTATGATCCCAGTCTGACCTTCGCCGACAATGTGGATCTTAGCGAACCTATCCTCAGTCGTTTCGATGTGCTCTGCGTGGTGAGAGACACCGTGGATTCGGTGCAAGATGAAATGCTCTCAAAGTTTGTCGTGGGAAGCCATATGAGACATCATCCGAATATATCTGCAGATGAGTCCAAGGAACTTGTTGAAAAGTTGGCTAGCATGGGGGCAACTTCGTCCAGTGCTGAAGCCAATGGTGGGGACATAGAACCGCTATCGCAGGTTAGTTTGAAGCATTTATTGAGGTGTCTATATATTGTATAGGCAGGGCGATTTATAACTAATAAGGTATTGCTTAAGAAGAGGTCAGGAGCGTCATCTTTTCAGCCTTATTGGGCGTCATTCTCGATGCTTTAGAGCGAGATTGCTCTTTTCCTCAGTGTTTGTCCGAATCCTCAATAACTTGTGATTTCCCTTTTCACATTTTCTTCATTAATGCTACCTTCCGTGGCCGATTTTTAGCCAGCTGCTAGAACTCTGACTTATGAGAAATGTGACGGGAATGTTTGTTTTTACATAAAATTTTTCTCCCCCTGTGCGTTGTTCACTAAATCTGCTTTTAGTCTCTCAGCAACAACGTGCTTGGTGGCTTAGAGTTTGTGTTTTAACGCATTGCTTTAATTTAGCTTGACTGATATTGATTAAACATTCAGTGATTAAAAAAATTTGTGGAGTTTCTTGTTTCCATTTTACCGCCGACTGATGTGGTTTCCATTGTTTACGTAAAAACGCTTCACTCTTGTAATTTGGTTAATAAAATTCGTACCATTACAATGACGTAATCACTGCTTAATGAGCAATAGAGTCTAGTTCTCTTTTAATACCTGTTTTAAAGTGCAAGTGTGATTCCAAGAAAGAAGGAAAACCGGAACCCTGAACGGACACCGAGATTAATTTCTTTTGCTTATGGGCCACTTATCACCATTCTGACTTCATTTGATCTTCTTTGCGTAGCAGAATGAAGCAGTGGCAAGACCGTAGTTATCAAAATTTATTGGGAGAGGACTTGAAATTCTAATCAGGGTTTAATAAGGGGGAATAAATTCGAAACAGCTAATTATCCAAAAGTTCTACTTTGTCTATTTTTGGAACCGAGTTTTGCACTTTAATTCTTTTGCTGCCTACAATAGGGGTTCAAGTAAAGTACATATTCAAAATGTCTATAATCTAATTACTATTTGGAAACTTATGCAAACTTTACGGCTTGCAAACATAATGGAATACGTAAGTATAGAAATTAAGTGATCTCAAATTGTAACTGGTTGAAGGCCTGAACAGGGGTGCCTATTGTATTCATCTGTTGACCTTGAAATCTGAGATGGCTACAATTCCTTCTCTGAGTCTTTTCTAATGTATCCAGAGTTAGAGATCGGGGCAGTGTCTGAATGTATCTATCCAATGTAGTTTCATCAGGAAGTTTGCCAACAACAAGTGGAATTGTCTATGATTATGAACAAAAACCCCGTTGGAAAGGACACATTTGTGTTTTATCTCATTATGACGCTATTTAGAGACATCTTAAAACATGAAGAGTAATTATTCTGGTCATGGAAGGTTATTTTGAAGGAAGAAAGCGTCTCCTTTTATTGAAATTACCACCACAATATGCCCTACAATAATTGAGCCTCAGTTGATTAAAATAACGCTAACTATAGCTCTGGCTCAAGGGTTTCATTCTAAAACTATTGGTTTTCTTAAAGGCTAGCTGATATCTTCCCAAATTGGAGTGCCGGGTGTTGAGTTGGTTGAGTATATTGGTCAACCATAAGACAGTGAGTGGGGTAAAATCGATATATGAGGAGAAGGAAATAGGCGTAAGCGCTGAGGTACTGGAATTCTGGTTGTGATATAGAAAACTAATCAAGGTACTTTTCGACTTATTTGTCTAACGTTTATCAGATGAACATCAATGTCGAGTCATGAGTTGTTTTCTGTGTGTATTTTCTAACTTTTTTAATCAGATTTCGAATGAGGCTTCAAATTAAATCACTTTCTAGGATCTGCTGAAGAAGTACATCCTCTACGCCAAGGACCGAATTCATCCCAAACTTAACCAGATGGACCAAGATAAGGTGGCTAGGGCCTACGCCGACTTGCGCCGTGAATCCTCCAGCACAGGCAGCGTTGCTATAACTGTTCGTCAGATTGAATCCACTGTGCGCTTGGCTGAAGCTCACGCCCGAATGCATCTCCGTGAATACGTCAATGACGATGATGTCAATATGGCTCTGAGAATTGTGCTCGAGTCATTCGTCGCTACACAGAAGTATGGTGTCATGAAGAGCATGCGTCAGGTTAGTTTGAGCGGTTTCACAACTTTTCTTGACCCATTCATATATACATCTAGCTTAAATAATCATTATTGAACAGCCATTATAAGAAATTTTGGCTAGAGGACCACTCTGTCTTGTTTGAATTGTCCCAGATTTATAGTTCTTTACTGGCGCTTAGTAGCCTTAATACAAGTGTTTTTGGATAACTATGTAGTTGTTTCGATTGGCATAAGCTTATCTGATGCCTCATTACAATCCATTGTGGTCGAGTCCTTCCTGTTCTCAATATACTCAAGGGTGTGGTGGAGCATGTCATTCAGCTTCAAGCTATGTTGGTCTGACTCCGAGCCTACCTTCTAAGGTAGATAAAGGTTTTTCTTTTTGTCATTGCAGAAATTCTCGCGTTATCTCAGCTACCGTCGTGACAACCAAGAATTGCTTCTCTTCCTTCTCAAACAACTCATCCACGAACGCTCTGCTTTCGCTCGCTCCCGTCAAGCAGCTTTGTCCAGCACTGCAGAAATCGAAGGTGAAAGTGCTCCAACTCCTAGTCTTCAGGTTGAAGTTTCTGAGAAGGAATTCGCTGACAGGGCTCGCCAAGTTAACATCCAATCGATTCGTGGGTTCCTCACAAGTGAACTCTTCACTGCACATCGCTTTAGCTATGATTCAAACCGAAAGGTCATCGTTCATAGCATTTAGAGAGACAAGTAAGAAGGAATTCCTGATGTTTGGTCTTTAGGTAAATTTAACGAACACCAGAAATACGGTTTGTTGTGGGGTGATTTGTAGTGCAATTTCTGTTGATCCAGTGGCGTACAGATTGCACTACTCATCGCCCTCACAACGCCTTTGAACGACTTATGAATTTTGTATCGTTACCTTGACCAAGTAATTGATTATGCCTATTTCTTTCATTCTTCTATTTTCTCTGCTAGATCAAAGTTTGTAAATGGCCTGCGCAAAACGAGGAGAATATTTTGCACTCGCTATTTTTAATATTAATGAAAAAAACTATTTTTATAAAAATTCTGAGATAAAAATTTTGAGCATTTATAACGATGCCTTTATAATATGCGCGTCATTTCGATGTAATAAACCAGTAGATGTGACCTTCGACTTCTTTTCTATGGATATTTGGTGCAGTTACTACTTATAGTTTAATAGTAGTCGTGCATATTTACGTCGAATTAAGTATTTTCCAATTTTGTGCATTTTTTCTACGATTCCACTGAAATTGACTTTTGCTAGAAGATGGAGCCTGGTCTATGGGTTGTCCCAAATCAAGTCTATTGGAAACATTTTTTAACAAAATTAGCCGTAGTAGTTATATATTCGTTTTCATGAATCAAAAGATTTGGTTTGTGTTGCGGTTTCTACATTAAAGGTAGGTTGTTGAAAAATGGAGCAATTGGATTGTTCTCTCATTGTTGCTAAGGCGTGTTTTGAGGAGCGATGATCCAGCATTTACTCATTTTCCATTCGAAAGACGCTTTCTTCGCCGGTTATTAGCCTTTTTGAGCTCAAATTATGTGAGCTATTTTAGATTTGTCATTGTTTAGATCACGTAATACCAATTGATATTGTCCAATGTCCGTTAAGTTAAGTACTGTCATTGTAAGGTCACCGATCAATAAGTATGTGATATCGATTGCGAGACGATTTCCATGAAATTAGAAGTCTGAACTCAAAATATTCTATGAGTAGATCTTTGGCACACTCTAAAAGCACATTAAGCAAGTCGATACCCTCTCACTGGTCTAAAAAGCCAGCAGGGTTATTTTAACTGTGCAAATGCGCATCACCGCTAGGAGTGATTACAACCGTTTAGATCATCTGGGACATTGATAGTATTTGAAAATGGTTTCCCCTTAACTTCTCTCAAAAGCGAGATTTTCGTCCATTCTGCGCTATGTGTTAATCGCTCTAACGACGCCAAGACAACGGTTATATTGTCGATAATCACAGGAAGTTCATCTACGTACGTTCCATGTGACTTTGAAGTTCCCTTCCTGAATAATAGCTGGAGGTGGAGAATGTTTTTCAAAAGCAGAGCAGTTATCAACTGAGTGGTAGATGGAGAGCACCGCTAACTGCGCAGTTAGGGGGGGGGGAGGGGTGGGTGGGTGACAGGAAGCAACAGATCCGCTAGGCCAATACTCCGCCGCCCCTCTTATCATTTGTCATCTTAATTGCATCCTGGGCTGTCGCGGAGGAGATGCACTCAATGTTGGGGGTAGCACAGATAAGGAGGGCCGATGTGTGTCTGGTATGTGACTGAGTCGTGTCGCCAGTAAAGCCACGCCAGTCCTAAATTCCAACAATTTTTCTATGCGCTCATTATTGTGGGTCTATTCTAAGTGGGCTTTTTTCGCGTAGACACGAGTTCGTTTCTTTTTCAAATGATCGAATGATGGTTAAGATAAAACTGGAAACTATCTTGTAGTGGCTTCGTTATTGATTCTATTAAAAGAATTAATTTACCCTCTGAGCAATTAAAAAATTTTAAGCTTGTTGAAATGTCAAAAAAAATCAGAAACGCTTTCTTTAATTTCAATGGTTGGTCCAAATTCTTGTTTGCTGCAATTCAGCCGTAGGCGTGTTGTGGTAAGCCCGAAGTAGTTCTTGAAAAATGCACCCAATCGCACTCACGAGACTGGTGCCGCCGACGTGATGAGTTTTGGTGGTGCACCAGGCGAAGGCTATAGACGCATGGAACATGTTTCAAACGTCAATGGCGCCGCTTTTGTTACGAGTCTACTACTAACGTAGCTTATTTTGAAAGTGTTCCGTTTTGTCCCAAGAGAATTAAAGGTTTAAGGTAGCATAAAAGTCAGCCTTGTAATTTGAGCTCTTCTCAAGGGGTGAGAAACATTAAAAGCTCTCTATCTTCTTGTCAGACAAGGAGGTTGTATGACTTTCCAAGTTTGCTGTTACTGCCCCATATGAAATGATAGTTTATGCAATTCTGGAAACGGCTAATAGGAAGTCCATTAAAATGATTAAGTGAAGCTGAATCAATGGATGATGAGAACAAATCAATGTTTCAAAGGAGTTTCAGGCTGCGCAGTAACCACTGGAAGAGGAATTCATGTACCATATAAGTTAGCTTCTACAATTCGTCCTCTGGATTACATCAATCACCTTGTCTACAAAATATCCAACGTCTATTGTCCACATTTTTGATTCAAATAGAACCATAGTCCCGCTTCTTCATTTCTTTATCTTTCGAGTGGCTTGAGGTGGCAATGCCATTGGCTTATAATTCTAATACAGGATAGTCAGTAAGTAGGAAGGTGAATTACTATATTTCTATTCAAAAGTGGCAAATATAGTCTATCACGCAGCCCCGTACACGCAGTTAATGCCACCATCAAGAAGATGCAAGAAAAATGAGGGCTCCGATTTTTTTGACCACACTCTATAATATTCTGTTTAGGCCATTATAATAGCACTATGCCAATTATGTTACTTGGATAGCAAATTCACCAAAGCGGTGATACTTTCGGACTCACAGTCAGCAATAAACTCAATTGGAAACAGAGAGCCACCCAAAACAGCTGAGATAAAGGAATGTAAAAAACTCTGTGAGCTCCTGAGAGAGAAAAACAAAACAGTAGTCCTACAATGGATTCCTGGTCACTGTGGCACTAAAGGCAATGAGCTTGCTGACACACTTGCTAAGAAGGGGACAACGATTTTGCAATGCATGGACCGGCCCATGTCTTTCCACACAATGAAGGCCTTAATCAGAAGAGAATTCTAGACCTCAAGGTGAAACGAACTTAAAGCTCGAACAAAGGAGAAACAGTGGACAGTGGCACTCTCTGACATGGTCGACTGGCCAAGAATTGAAGCCGTTGCTTAGTTTAGACTACGTACCGGACACGATTGCCTGGCGAAATATCTTCACAGATTGGAGTATACACTCAACCCATATGCCCCTATGTAACCTACAGGAGGAAATGGAGAAGACCCACCTGATTCGGTGTCCAGCCCTAAAGACAACGACGGAAAGCCAGAGATACTGGGAAGCAAGAAGACAACTAATGAACTGCTTTTAATTAACTGCTATATATGTACCCCCCCCCCCCCCCCCACCCTTGGGGGAAGCTGAAGTCAAAGTTTAAGAGCTAATGATAAATATTATAAATATTGCTATTTGAAAAAATAATATAATAATAATAATAAATGTTGTGAATGGCTTTCTCGTCTCATGCCTTGACAAACCCCTTGAGCTATTTCTATGTGCAATCGGGTAGGAAAAGCTTCATGAGCTGCGTTAAATCGTTATGAACTATTCATTATGACTAAACCGGGATAGTACACTCTGATTGGTCGGCGTGTGACTCCACGTCAGGAAACAGGGTGACAAGCCGTGTAATTGGAATATCAGAACAAAAGGTCGGGGGACTATATGAGGGAAGTTTAAGGGGCTTTACCATCGGAAACCATGACTCTTTGCAAAGTTCTTTTGAAATCCTAACCTCAATTTCCGTTTCAACTCCATCTCCTCAAATGACATTGGAGTGCTCTAATCGAAAGCATTTTCAGATGAAAAGCTACGTGTGCTTCCGGTTTTTTTGGGGAGGGGGTTAAAAATGAAAGAAACATAATTGTTTTTCCAATGAACCAGAAAGTTATCTCAAAGTAAAATGAGGATTTATTTTAAACAAAAAGGGTTGACAAGACATATGCTTATAAATATTTTGGCACCGTGGAAGCACACATTTGATGTCAAGTACTGTCATCTCCACACACACACACTCAAGCCGCCATAAATCACTCGAGGTGTTTATACCTTTCATGGTGGGGTGAAGAATGCGTTTTTTTGCGATTTCGCACGCACAAAATTAAAATTTATCACATTTTTCAGTTAGCACAAGTGATGATCTGTCCATTATCAATATGGAATTAATAAAAAATTAGTTACAATTCGACGAAATTTCTTAAAGGAAGTTGCCAGAAATAAAAGGCTCTGAATTTGATTAATGCATTTCGGTGCTAAAACTAATCTAATAAAAATTAAAATGCAGGAAAATTGATATATTCCGCTAACATTATTTTAGCTATTTTTTGGGGTAAGAGTTTAATTTTTTCAAAGAGTCTGATTACAATAAATACTGGGGCTTGAAAGATATGATGTTATGCAAGCAAAAAGTTGAGATGGAGTATTTAATGTCAAAAACGAATATCATTTTTTAAAAAAAACAAGCGATTATGTTGAATAATTCAATTACTTATACTTCGCGCGTGAACTCTTAAACCTGATAATCATTTTTTTTTCCTATAATAAGTTTCTGAACACAAAGAGGCTATTGTTGAACAATGATGGCAATGCTAAACCACAGCTTCAACAGACAGTGCTGAATAACTAAAGATGTCGTCTATTTGAAATGAAAAACTTGCTTAATTGCATTATAAATGGCCAGCACGCGCCATAGATACTGGAGTGATGGAGGGATTTTGATTGAAAAACGCTGAACGTTCCACAATCTTTGACAGCTCCCAGAGAGTAGATTTATAATCTTTTTGTTGAAGAGGTGTTAGAAAAATACATGGTACACCATTTCGCTGCCTACCTGAATAAACCTCTTGCAACAGCACTTACAGGACCTCGATACTTGTGAATTTAAAATCTGAAATCAGCTTTGATTAAAAATGTGTACAGTTGAGTAGAGTGCTTTTCACTTATTTTGTCA